ATAACGATCACCTCCGAATGCGACCAATTATGTAAGTGTATTTATGTAAGTGCGTTTGTACGTGTATGTTTGGGGGTCTGAAATGGACTAATTTACTTCACAATATTCCTTATGGGAACAAATTCTGTCAGTACTGGCACCTGAACATACTTCTGGAGTGAAAAAATATCGTTAACCGGGGGTCCACTGTACTTCCCTGGGTGGTTGCTGTCTACCAACCTACTTTTTATAGTAAAATCAATCAAAATCACCTCTATTTCTATAATATGTTTTCCATTCTATCAAATGAGACCAAGAAAACGAGAATACAACCATAAATACTATACAAAAATAGACCACAAAGTCGGCATTTTAATTAAAAAAACGGTCGGAGTTTTTTTTTTCTCATTATGCACTGCGTGCTCCAGGATTTTTTTTGTATGGTGCACATTGACCACACAGACCCATTCTCTCACATGTGGGCCTACCAGCTTTCTCCTGATTGATTTGAAGCCGCTAGAATTTACGAGTATATATACGTCAAACACGGTACCTCGTAAGACATATATATACGGCCGCGACAGTCAAAGGGTTAATATATTTATAGACGAGGTTGTAAAAGAAGTAAATGCTAGGGTGTTAGGGAGAGGGGGGTGGGATTAAATTATGGGGAATCAAATACAAAACGGGATTTGACAGTTACTTTTTCCTGATGATACTGTGCTTATGGGTGATTCTAAAGAAAGGTTGCAAAGGTTAGTGGGAGGGTGTGTAAAGGCAGAAAGTTGAAAGTGAACAAAGATAAGAGTAAGGTGAGGAGGGCATCAAATGATTTAGATAAAGAAAAACTGGATATCACATTGGAGAGAAGGAGTATGGAAGAAGTGAATTTTTTTAGATACTTGGGAGTTGTGTCAGCGGATGGGTTTATGAAGGATGAGGTCAACCATAGAATTGATGAGGGAATAAAGGCGAGTGGTGCGTTGAGGTATATGTAGAGTGAAAAAACGTTATCAGTGGAGGCAAAGAAGGGAATGTATGAAAGTATAGTGGTACCAACACTGTTATGTGTGTGAAGCTTGGGTTGTAAATTCTGCAGCGAGGAGTCGGCTGGAGGCAGTGGAGATGTCCTGCCTAAGGGCAATGTGTGGTGTAAATATTATGCAGAGAATTCGAAGTGTAGAAATTAGGAGAAGGTGTGGAGTTAATAAAAGTATTAGTCAGAGGGCTGAAGAGGGGTTGTTGAGGTGGTTTGGTCATTTTGAGAGAATGGATCCAAAGTAGAATGACATGGAGAGCGTATAAATCTGTAGGGGAAGGAAGGTGGGGTAGGGGTCATCCTCGAAAAGGTTGGAGAGAGGGGGTAAAGGAGATTTTGTGGGCGAGGGGCTTGGACTTCCAGCAGGCGTGCATGAGCATGTTAGATAAGAATGAATGGAAACAAATGGTTTTTGGGACCTGACGAGCTGTTGGAGTGCAAACAGGGTAATATTTAGTGAAGAGATTCAGGGAAACTGGTTATTTTTATATAGCCAGACTTGAGTTCTGGTAATGGGAAGTACAGTGGACCCCCGCATAGCGACTTTAATCCGTGCAAGAGGGCTCATTGTTATGCGAAATGATCGGTATGCGAATGAATTTTCCCCACAAGAAATAATGGAAATCAAATTAATCCGTGCAAGACACCCAAAAGTATGAAAAAAAAAATTTTACCACATGAAATATACATTTTCCTACACAGAGAGAGAAGGATACATGCACAACAGTAGAGTAGTACATGCACAATATATATTGTGCATGTACTACTCTACTAAATGAAGAATAAATGACACTTACCTTTATTGAAGATGCAGCAATGACTGATGAGACACTGTGTCCTGGGAGTGCCTTTTCCTCCTGAGTACTGTAGGTCCTGTTTGGCATTTTCTTCCAGAACAGGCCTTATCACACTGTGTATGCCACTACGATTCTTAAATCTCTCAAACCAACCTTTGCTGGCTTTAAATTCACCAATATGAGCACTAGTTCCAGGCATTTTTCCCTGTTCACCTGGGTGTTAGTCGACTGGTGTGGGTTGCATCCTGGGAGACAAGATTAAGGACCCCAATGGAAATACGTTAGACAGTCTTCGATGACACTGACTTTTTTGGGTTATCCTGGGTGGCAAATCCTCTGGGGTTAATTGTTTCTTGGTATTCTCAATAAGCCACACCAACAACGGTGCTACAGCAGCAGCAGCAGCTGACAGTGCTACAGCAGCAGCAGACGATGCTACAGCAGCAGCAGACGATGCTACAGCAGCAGCAGACGATGCTACAGCAGCAGCAGACATGCTACAGCAGCAGCAGACATGCTACAGCAGCAGCAGACGATGCTACAGCAGCAGCAGACGATGCTACAGCAGCAGCAGACGATGCTACAGCAGCAGCAGACGATGCTACAGCAGCAGCAGACGGTACTACAGCAGCAGCAGCAGCAGCTGACGGTGGTACAGCAGCAGCAGCAGCTGACGGTGGTACAGCAGCAGCAGCAGCTGACGGTGGTACAGCAGCAGCAGCAGCTGACGGTGGTACAGCAGCAGCAGCAGCTGACAGTGCTACAGCAGCAGCAGACGATGCTACAGCAGCAGCAGATGATGCTACAGCAGCAGCAGACGATGCTACAGCAGCAGCAGACGATGCTACAGCAGCAGCAGACGGTACTACAACAGCAGCAGCAGCAGCTGACGGTACTACAACAGCAGCAGCAGCAGCTGACGGTGGTACAGCAGCAGCAGCAGCAGCTGACGGTGGTACAACAGCAGCAGCAGCTGACAGTGCTACAGCAGCAGCAGACGATGCTACAGCAGCAGCAGACGGTACTACAGCAGCAGCAGCTGACGGTGGTACAGCAGCAGCAGCAGCTGTACCACCAATAGTAGCGATGGTTGATTGGGGTTTATTATACAACCTGGCCAGCTCGGACACACGCACTCCACTTTCATACTTATCAATGATCTTTTTCTTCATCTCTATAGTATTTCTCACCCTTATTGCTGTAGGGTTGGCACTAGAAGCTTTCTTGGGGCCCATGGTCACTTATTTTGCAGATAAAATCACCAAAAACACTGTAATAATACGAAATGTTCCGATTGTATGGTTGGATGTTACCGCGGAGGCTGGCTGGTAAACAATGCCACCGGCGGCACATGTGAGGCTGGCTAAGGGCGCACATTGGACGCGTCTCGGATGAAGAGCGGTGAGCGGGTTTTTGAGCGGTATGCGAGGCAAAATTTTTGCGATAAAAGCGAGCGGTATGAGGATTGTACGTTATGTGATGCCGACGGTATGCGGGGGTCCACTGTACAATGCCTGCACTTTAAAGGAGGGGTTGGGATATTGCCAGTTTGGTGGGATGTGTAATAGGATGGTATATACACCTACCATCCAACTTACGACCGAGTTCGGTTCCGAGAAACTGGTCGTAAGTCGAAATGGTCGTAAGTCAAACTTTACTACTGAATATCAACAAAACATGTTTGTAATGACTTTATTTTATTGTTTTATTTTGGTATTTCATGTTTTACTTTACTTTTTATGTTGTTAGTACTGTATTTTATACTCTAAGGTTTAGGATAAAGACCGTGTACAACACAAATAGTTGTTTATTTCCCAGAAATTTGGCATAAAAAACACGGTCGTAAGTCGAGCAGGTCGTAAGTCGGATGGTAGGTGTATATAATTGGGGCCCTGATATTGTAATTATTTCAGGTCACTTTTTATACTGTATCTTTATATATGCTTCAAAACTGTTGTATCTGGGCACCTCTGCAAAAACAGTGATTATGTATGAGGTGAAAGTGTTGAATGATGATGAAAGTATTGTCGTTTTGGGGATTTTCTTTCTTTTTGGGTCACCCTGCCTAGGTGGGAGATGGCCGACTTGTTGGAAAAAAAAAAAAGTATACACACACACACACACTACTTGTATATTACAGTATTTATTTATTTATTTATTTTCTCTCCATGGGGAAGTAGAACAGAATTCTTCCTCAGTAAGCCATGCGTCTTGGAAGGGACAACTAAAATGCCAGGAGCAAGGGGCTAGTAACCCCTTCTCCTGTATACATTACTAAAAGAAACTTTCGTTTTTCTTTTTCAGCCACCCTGCTTTGGTGGGATATGGTTTGTTTGATAAAAAAAAAATGTATGTACTGGTAGATACAAATATGTAACAGAAAATGTAGAAGTGTAATAATGAACGACTAATATGACTGGTTGATAGACTTTGTGATATGATCACTCGTCTGGTAAGACAGCCACTGAATGAACAATGATGAATGTTTCCATCTTTTTAAGTCATCCTTCCTTGTGAGGAGACAGCCGGTGTGTTGAAAACAAAATTACAAAACTAATAATTTTTTATTAGTATATCGACTATTTCCCACCAAAGCAGGATGACCTGAAAAAGAAGAAACGCTTTCATCATTACTCACTCCATCACTGTCTTGCCAGAGGTGTGCCGACACTACATACGAATTATTCATGTAACGTATCTCGTTTTACTGTAATTTATATGTATGCAGCACGTACAACTTCCCATCAAGATAAACTGGCAGGGTGTCCCAAAATATAAGATCCTTCAAGGAAAAGGAAGGGAGGGTTCATTTGAAGATGGTGAAGGGCTTTTTCTCCAAGGATTTTGAACTGTCTTTCCCTTCCTCACATCAAATCTGATTATCCCCACCCCTTACATTGCCAAGGCACTGTAAGATCCCTACAGATTAAGCAAGGACCCCCAACGGAAATAAGTCACTGACTTTCTTTGGGTTATCCTAGGTAATTTCCACTATATATGATGATTATGCTTATGTGTACCTGTGCCTAAATAAACTTGCTTACATTCCCCTCATGAATATTATAGTAATAATAATAATCATAAGAAAAATAATATAATCCAGACAGCAAGTTATGGTGTCAGCTTCTTTGGGCTACTTTACCTACCATTACTACAGTAAGAAAATGTACAGTACTGTGCTTTACCTTGAAATATGGGCTGGCTGCTGCAAGAACAATTTTGTGGCCATGGAAGATTTCCCTGCCAACTTCAAGTTTGACATCGGTCAACATTTGATTGCTTTTCATCAGTAACATCATCTGAAATAACATAAAAGTTTACCAACTTGTATAACAGTAATATTAAACCTGTGAGTGCTAGATTCTTATATAATATAGGTCATAATACAAAATGAAAATGAAAAATATATTTTTTAATTTTAGAGAATTGCAACCTAAAAAAAAGAATGTCTACCAGCTAGTGGGACATACTAAGGCATTCAGCAAGAATGACTGAAAAGGGACTGTGATACCCACAGTATGCAGATAAAGACACATGCACAGTTCAAGACATTTCACCACAAGTGACACAGCTTTTTCTCAATTTGTGCATACGTGTTTTTATCAACATTCAGTAAGAAATTGTTCTTATTTAGCATATCTTAAATATAATTGTTACTGGGCAGCAAGCAGGGGTATCATCCCCCAGAACACCCTCCATTTATTTTTAAAAGGGGGGTTATGATTTTTTGACACTGAACAGCACTGCAGATTTTCAATATTATACAGAAGTGACTGAGAATGTTTCTGCAAATTATAGGCCATAAAAGGCAAGTCTCAAGCTGGTAAACATACAAATGTAAAAATTGGCAGTTTAGAAACTTGTACCAGATCTCTAAAACTTGTGATAACTGTACTGTAACCCCTTTTTCCCCTAACAAAAACAAGTGAGCTTCAGGAGGGTTTCCAAAAGTTGTTCGTAGGATGCATCTTCCAAACCAATAGGACTTTGAAAAGGCTTAAAAAATATAATGGTTAAAATACAGTGCTGTATCATAAAAATCTAACATATTATCTGACAAATTTTCCAATCCCAAATAAAGTTAATATACACCTAAAGAACCTACCTGAAATGCATCACTCTTGTACTCTGATATGCAGAACTTTATTTCCCCACTGTCTCTATAGGAAGTACCAGTGTACTGGCGTGTGCGGATACAACCCCGTGCCCCTGTGGTATTATTTCCATTTCCTCGTCCTCGTGCACCAACACCTGTTTCCTCCATTTCTATATCAGGATACCAGCTGGCCATACTGCTTCATACAATCACCATTAAAGTACAGTGTTCATTATCATAGGTAAAACTTGGTACTTGATGTTGTAAACACCAAGTAGTAGTTTGCAGCTTAGCAAAAGTACAATAAAAAGGTTCTTCAAATTGTACATAAAAATAAAAATATACTAAAAATAAAAATCACCCAGCATCGTAAGTCCATATCACAAAGATTTTATTTTCCATTTGAATTGTCATCACTCACTGTGTAATACAGTAATTATATTTGTCCTTAAATACTATAAATTAGTATGGCGTTCCTTTCATTCCGTGATCAACGTATCATCACTGGCGGACACTAATATCTCGTTTCACAATTTATCTACCTGTATTGTTTTTCAATAAATATAATTTTTATTCCAAATTAATAAATTTAGTACATAGCAGCAGCTTCTGGTGATTATATCTGGGAGTGAAGCCCATGCACGGGCTAAAGAAAGTAGAGACATCTTGCAAGGGTTTCTCATATCTCTGAATATACCTGAAATATAGAAGTGAGTATTAATGTGCATATCTATTCAATGTTGTTCAGTGAAAATGTTTTTTTTATTAACACATCAGCCATTTCCTGCCAAGGCAGGGTGAACTGAAAAAGAAGAAACACTTTCATTATCATTCACTCCATCACTGTTTTGCCAAAGGCATGCTGATACTACAGTTCAAAAACTGCAACATATCTCCACCCCTCCTTCAGAGCGCAAGGCACTGTACTTCCCACCTCCAGGACTCAAATCCAGCTAACCAGTTTCCTGCATCCCTTCATAAATGTTACATTTCTCACACTCAAACATACAATTAGTACAAGTGTAATTATTTAAATAAACCATTTATAAAGGAAATGGATTACATGAAAGAAATTTGTATTCATAAGTGAATAATTTTACCCACTGGCTACAGCCCTTATTTTACCATTGTATGATGGCTTAACCTAGGCGATCTCTAAAATTCCTCCAAATATTTTAATTGTTCCTCAAAAAACTCATATTCACAATGTAGTTATTTAAATTCTCATTTGGTTCAATACTAAGAAAATCCTCCTCATCTTAAGAAGGGCAGGAATGTTTAATGTTACAGTATTTAATTTTAAGTGGTTGAATCTATCTTCCTTAGATTAATATTTTTGATAATACCAGTGAAGTAGAAAACCTAGCATCTTTCAAACAACACACTGTGACTTAAAAATTATGGGAGTTGTAATCACCTTCAAACCTTGCCCTATTAGAGTGCAGCGGTAGTGCATTTATTTTGTGGCCTGGTGGCCAAAGCTCCCGCTTCACACACGGAGGGCCCGGGTTCGATTCCCGGCAGGTGGAAACATTTCGACACATTTCCTTACACCTGTTGTCCTGTTCACGTAGCAGCAAATAGGTACCTGGGTGTTAGTCGACTGGTGTGGGTCGCGTCCTGGGGGACAAGATTGAGGACCCCAATGGAAATAAGTTAGACAGTCTTCGATGACACACTGACTTTCTTGGGTTATCCTGGGTGGCTGACCCTCCGGGGTTAAAAATCCGAACGAAATCTTAACTAAAAGAACCTGGGTCCAACCCTGGAAGAGGGAAGTAGTGTGTCCTAACACCTGCTGCCCTTTTTACTAAGTAAGTTTATTCAGGTATACACAAATACAGTTACATAGAATTATCATACATAGCAGCATATGTGTAGAGAACCTAGGATAACCCAAAAAAGTCAGACACAGTGGTGCACAGTATTTTCCATGTTTCAGTTCCCAGCAGCTGAGCCTTGGCTTTCCTTCTAGTAACATCCCTCACAAAATCTTTTCTTACTCTATCTCATCTTCCAAGTTCACCCCCTCTAGGGTCTTTTCTTTACACAAGGACCTCAATGGTAAGTCACTGATTTTTTGGCAGGGGTAATTTACACTATGTATGATAACTGTACTTATGTGTACTTTTTTTCAACATGTCAGCCGAGGCAGTGTGACCAGAAAAAGAAAAATACTTTCACCATTGTGTACATATGCCTAAATAAACCTAAAAGTCAGACAGTCTCTGTCTTCCTCCTCTCTCTTCTGCTTCTGTCTCTCTCTTCTCTCTTCTCTCTCTCTCTCTCTCTCTTGTCTTGTCTGTCTCGTCTCTCTCTTCTCTCTGCTCTCTCTGTGTCTCTGTCTGTCTTGTTGTCTCTCTGTCTGTCTCTGTGTCTCCTGTCTCTCTCTTCTCTCTCTCTTTCTCTTGTCCTTCCTTCCTTTCCTTTGTCTTTTTTCTCGGTTCTGTGTAATCAAATCTGTTTCATCACCCATTAATTTTTTAATTTTCAAATATTAAACATTATATATCACTACCTAGCGATACATATGAAGATATCAACCTTATTATACATTTATACATTTGAATGAAATAAATGCATAGTTTACACAGGCAAATTGCCCCTTGTGAGTCTAGCACTTAGTTTTAATTGTAATAATAATATACTACAAGCAAACACTGACAAAAAAAAATTTTCAAGGTAAACACTTAACCCATAAGGATCATTTTCATCATTATTAATAAATTATGTAGATTTAACCTAGGATAACCCAAAATGTGAATAATTATTATAAGTTCTACAGTGTATGTTCACAAATTCACAACTTTTCCAAAAATAATAAATACATTACATATCGTAAATAAAATAATTAACAATAATAATCATTACTGATTATTCTGAGTGGGCATGTAGTCTGAATTAACAGGAATAACAGTTTAGTGACAATGCATAGCTACAAACATATGATGACAATTTTGATTAAGTTTAGTTTGGATCACTCTTATAATTTATAGTAGATAGCCACTTATTATGATTATTACAATACAGCCCCAAAACATGTTAAGGTGCATTATTTTAAGCCTGCCCATAATGCTCTGCATACCAGGGGCTTTGGCATGCTGCACTTAAAAAATTGTATTCCTTTTACTTCTCTGTATCATGTTCAAATTAATAAATAAATAAATTCATGGAGAAGCACTAATTAACCCAAAAGGGGTCATACAGGCCTGGGGAATGAGAGGTAATCAGGTTTGTTCTGAAAAAGTAGAGATAAGGGATTTTATATATCTTTGGTACTAATAAACCTGGCAATTAAAACTTCTTAATCAATGGGAAGAGGTGCATCTTAGAGGTAATAATTATTAAGTGTTAGATAACTAGCTAATACAATACTGCTGGACAACAGTGAAGAAAGGACACAATGAACTTGTCGTTGTTGGGACAGTTAAGATAATAACACATTTTGATGTATTTTGATATAGATCTTAACAGATAGAAAAGTTGTCCCAATAAAAGTCTGGCGTGCTCTGTCTTGTTCAATACAATATTGCAGCTGGGGTTGTTAATGGTCACTATTAAATAAGTGAAGGACCCCAATGGAAATAAGTCACTGACTTATTATTTGGGTTATTCTTGGTAATTTACACGTGTTATTATGTATGATAATTGTACTTGTACGTACCTGTACCTAAGTACACTTACATTGCGTCAGGCCCTCTTCTCCCCACTTGCTGGTATTACGAAGTAAATGATGACTAAATGTGGGAACAAAACGCAAAAAAAAAAAAAAAAAAAAAAAAAAAAAAAAAAAAATGTTCCTAAATATTAAAACTGGACCTTGCTGAAGATAACCCAGGCAGTGGTAATGCTTTCTTCACATCTCCCCCCCCCTAAAAAAAAAGCACCCCCAAAAAATGGTGTTAATGAACCCATTACTCTTAGTAATAACTCATTGCCAGTACTACTGTAACGTTGTCTTCGCATATCATCTTTGTATTGAATTAAACCTCATCTTGTCCGTATTATATACCATTGTATTCATTAACATGTGTTGATAAACAGTATGTCAAGTCCCAGCTCCTGGACCCACAATGTGTCTGTAATTGAATGCCGATAACAGAAAACCATTAAACTGTTTAGTGCCCTAATAAACACATCAAGTATTGAAGGAAGAGATAATATGCATCGCAAAAATTTAGAAATATTCGCTAGGGCATAGAGAGTCCGTACACTAAGCCCAGCGCAAAGTACAACTGTAATAAGTTTTTATATTACAAATACTAGTCTTCTAAGTATAATGTATATTAAATCAATATATCAGCTTTGTATGGAGAGCAATTTAGCGTGAAACCTTTTTCTTGTTTTTGACGAGTCATGGTAGCTTGGTCGCCACTCTGTGCAGACGACTGTTGTCTTCATAGATTTAATAGGTCAGCATCAACATCAAGGTATGGTACATTACATATAAGTAATTTGCAGTCATATTTGCATCATATTACATAAGGATTTATAAATGTCACATGATGACGATCTAGGAAAACCCTACAGTTCCTCCTAAGGATTTACTACCGCCTGTCCGTATACAATAGTCCTTATGGAAATCAAATCATGCTACAGTATTTTCCTGTACTGGGTTTATTAGGTTAAATTAACATTTGTCACCATTGCATGCATGTTCTTAATGCAGTCAGTGCAGAAATTTAAAACAGCGGATGGTATTAATTATACTCGTGGGAAGCGCTGAACTAGTACAAGGGTCGTACAGAGCGTTGGGAATAATATAATATTTTTCTGCAAGTACATGTACAAGGTATACAGGTCTAGCTGACATCAATGACATACTACTAAATAGCTGAGCATTTCGGGCAAATTAGGCCAGTTTTGTCCCAGGATGCGACCCACACCATATACTGTACACGAGTAAACCTTACATTTAACCCTCCTAAATTAGTAAGTACATACAAATTTTGTTAGTCAGTTCACTAATTGGTACATCTGGAATAAGACGTATGTAACTACCAAGTGTTAACATATGTCTTACTCATAAATTTCAATTGTAAACCACTAATATATCATACTAATAAATATGGTGAAATAATAAAGCACTGTAGTAGGCCTACTAAGTGAAAGGCATTACCTTATCAAGCCCAACCCTTCTCGCTCTTATATTTCTCCAATCTATTTTAAAGTTATCTAAGGGATTAGCTTCGATGCCTACTTGGCATCATCTACAACAAGCATGTACTGCCCTATATTCTTTCTTAATCTATAAATCTAACATATTTGAATGGTTTCTCTGTACCTTGTTAATATCCTTTTTTGTTTAAACCTGTCTTCCGCTAACATATTTCTATCATATGTCCTCTCATTCTGCATCTTGCAAGAGGGACCAATTGTTTGACTTTATATGGGTATCCTAGTTGAAATCTACATAATATACTTTCAAGTGCCTATAGCATGTGTGCCCTCATTATTATTATTATTATTATTATTATTATAATCAAGGGGGAAGCGCTAAACCCGGAGGATTATACAGCGCCTGGGGGGGGGATGTGGAAGGCATTCAGGCTTAATTCGGGGAACTGGAGCACAGATCCAATTCCCTAAATCAAGAGCCCCTCACCAACATCAAGGAACCTTCCTTGAGGGGATGTGCGCCCTCAAAATCGTAAAATATATGTACGTAAAAATACCAGTGAAACTCAGAAATAAATTCTGAGTGTTTTCATGCTCTTACACATATCTTCAGAGGAATAGGAAGAGGCAAGGGAAGCCTATTCTTCCCATTCCTATGAAGATATGTGTGCGTGTCAGCACATGAAAGTGCTCAGGTTTTATTTCCCATTTTCACTGGTATTTTTACATATTTGCAATTGTGCGTTGTATTGTGATTTCTTCCATATACATGTACATATAGCTTACCCGTAGTCACTTCCGGAGGTTACCGCCTCGAGGCCCGGTTCCAGACCAGGCCTTCCCAATGCCTAAATAGAAACTAGGTTCCGAGCTTTCAATCTCTTTATGCAAGATTGCTTGTACAGTGGACTAATTGTCATCCTTTGTATGTTCTCCAATGCATTTA